CTTGGCCTTAGGGACGATAGAAAAATGTGGCCTCGGTATAAATAATCGAACTTGGTCCCGTCAATAACTGAATCCAAAGACGAGTGAATGAAAACTCGGGATAGTGTGAATGAGCCCGACACCAGTTAACGTTGGCATGAACAAATAAACTTGGAACTGGTTCTTCGTTAGTTTGAATAAATAGATTCGGCCCTCAACGTAGATAAGTTGTTCCAGCTCCGACGTAAATGATTGAACCGGGCCCCGGGGTATAGATAGATGGATTCGTCACCGTTATAAATAAGTACATTCGGTCCCAGTTGTCACCGTGTGAACAAACAAACTTTTCAGGTCTGCAAGCGATGATGAGGTCAATTAGGTCGACTCGATTCAGATGTGATTTGCGCCTTGGTCCCAATATTGATAAATAAGGTTGAAGACGAGGAAATAATGCATCGGTCCCGAGAGCTGATCCCGTTGGCGAGTATCAGAGTGAATGAACCGGGACTCATCAGTAATAGAAGAATAAATCCGCCTTATATGTGGGAGATCGGCTTACATATTGTCGATTCGAATAAATGAGCTTGGACCTTCCCTTAACCGTTTAATCTTTCTGTTTCACATGACATGGCTTTTTGGGCCTAGAGGCCCAATTGGTAGAATAACATTGAAATTCACTCTCAGGGCCAAATACTGGTGTAAAGATCCCACTTTACTCTTCATCGCCTAGCTTTTATCATCGTTTCACTCTTCTTCCTTTTCATTTCTGATCGCTCATTCTGCGTAGTCCATCACTGAATTTCTCGAAAAATATATGAAATTGATGAAATAGTCTTCTTGGCAATCATTCTTCTTCACTTTCCTCCTTCGATTCGTGTCTCAAGGTGCAAAGATGATCGGATCTGAGAAATTGACTGCCCAATTATTGATGGCGAAGTGGGCAGGTCCAAGCTTAGATGACCGACGTGATTCGATTTTGATCAGACCCCGTCGATTGATTGAAAGATTCTCGATTCGCTGATTGTGGAAGTCTGCGGTTGACCTCTGTCGCAAGTCCATGGCCGGTCTATTAAAATCAACGAGATGAGCCCGTTAGGGGAAGTCAATGGCGTGACGTCGAGCCCGAGCTGAGATCGGTGATGATCTACGACATCGGTTGGTTGATGCCTGGGCGGAAATCGATTTGCTGAAGTCGGTTTTTTGTTGTTTTTTTTTTGCTCGGTCGGTTGTGCACGACGTCGGAAGTTAGGATGTCGGAAATTGAGATGTCGGTCCGACTGCAATATCTGATATTCGAGCTTATATAAGCCATTAACCGAGGTCAAGTTCATCGATTATATC